GCTGAAGGCTTGTTTATTTGCTCCTGAATGGCATTTCTTATGCATACACACACACACACACACACACACACATACACACATACACTAAAAACAATTTGCTTTAATAATACCTGTATCTGCAAAAATGTTCCCAATTGTTCATAGTACAAATGTTACTATTTAATTAAAAACAAAGACTGATTTGGAATAGTAGGTCATAAAAAGATCAAGATCAACTGTGAAGATTATATTTGTTGATTGTTTTTATGGTTTGGTATTTAGTCTCCCCCCCCTTTTTTTAACCTCATATTTGTACTATAATTATCTGGAAATTTTAAAATGTTTTATTGTAATTTTTTGCAGTTAAAAATATTAACCAAGAACCACTTTATTTTCACTTAATAATCTTACTCTATTTGACAACTTGCTCCAAAGGCAAATCTAAAAAACGGCAGTCTTTCTCTGTTGACAATTACATTTGCCTAGGATTCAAATTCACTGATTTCTTCAATTCTTGACATGTGATAGCATGCTAGAGTAACTTAGCAATGGGGAAAGTGCACTCTGTTCATGATCAAAGGTGCATGATTTTAAATTTTAACATGTGCCTTCAATACTAATTAATATACTGCTTAGCTTCTACAACTTTTTTTGTAATAAATCTTTGCTCAGAATCACACCCTGAAGAAAGTAACCCATCCTCCCTAATGAACATGTTCATTTCATCTCTGATGTTTACTTGAAAAGACAAAATGTATGTAAACATTTACAGTATATCTAAAAATTATTATTTCACATTGCCCACACCTAGAGATTGAGGCCTGATGGGACCAATCTTTTGTGATAACTTTTCTTTTGGTGATGAGCAGAACAACTCAGATCAAACTCATAGTCTTGCAGCATCTTAAAGTCTAAGACATTTATTTATTATTATATAAGGAATCCTGGGCTATTCATCATATGCATGGAATATTATTTTAAGATGCACGAGCATATGATGGTAAGAGATTTTTTAAAAAATGAAGAAAGACATCAAGAACAAATCAACTTAACCTATGGGTAACTGACCATTCACAAAACAAGTACCCACACAAGCTTAGCATGTCTATTCAGAAGTAATTTTCATTCACTGCCTGCAGTTGATTCCTTACGTCATAATAAATAAATAGTTACTTTCAGTAACTGGTTATAGAACCACTGTCTACATCCAAAGACTCATTATTCCTTTGTTTAACTTGCATTTCTCCCCATGTCATACATTTGTAAATTATCCAGAGCAGGGATATTATTTGGTTGCAAAGCATTACGTTCAAAAACAGCAGCAGTTTGCCAACATATGTAGAGATTCTGTTGGCATGCCATATTTATCTACTGAAGTAATGTCACGTAAACTTGAGCTCTGTAGTTATTTCTAACTGAAATTTATTTATATGTGTGTGTGTGAGCACACACACACTAATTTACACAACGTGCTGAAAACGCAGATGAGTGTGTCCCTCCCTGGTGGATTGAAAGAGATGTTTTTTCTTTCAGATGTCTCAGCTGTAATTTATAATATAATATATAGAAACTGTTCAAGGGGGGGTTAGGTGATTATCAAACAAGCCTGGCTTTCATTTCATTTCATTTCGTTTTCATTTTATTTGGACAGGTGTATTGTACTATAGCCTGTGGTGTGAACATTTTCCCCTTCATTGCTCCTGGCACATGCTCAAACGTTTCCCAAACTCTCACTTTGTTTGGTTTCGGTGTTCCATTTGGGGGTGTTTGTTTAAGCCCAAACCAAGTCATAAATTAACAAGTTGTTTGACCCATCCTAATTAAAGGAGAGAGGTCTGTGAAATGCACCTTTGTCTGGGGGTTGAGGTCTGGCTCCTTTCCTCATGAGACCCTCAAAGGGAACAGGTCCCACGCTGACTGGTAGAATATGGAGCATGGCCTTGGGCTTGTGGTTTCAGATTCTAGGATAAGGAGGACCGCTTAGGTCCATCTTTAGCCATTTTATTTTTAAAGAAATAATAATTGAATGAGTGCTGTCCATCCACTTTCTGAAAGTTTTTGTTTCCTGTAAAAGAAGCTTATGTGTATGTTTGGGCTTGGGGTTTTGTTTCTTATGCACATGATCAAGTCACTTCAGAATTTCTTTTGATAGTACTTTTGCGCCTACCATATCTTTGCAAAGGAATGGAGAGTGGGGCTATTTGATTATACTATTCTCCATCACTCTGCAGCCTTCCTAGCTGCCCATGCAGCAGCATCCATGGGGTCAAAATCTGGTAAGAGAGTGGTTGGAGCATTGTGATGAAAGGGGTGGTACTTACATCATAGTGCTTCATCTGCCATTTTGCCGATTTCCATGCCTCTCTGTGGACGCTGCTATGTCCATGTTTCCTGGTCTGAAAAATCCCCACAGGAAGAGTTTCTCATGGTGGCTGGAAGCCAAGGAGGTGGAGAACAGTGAGAGAATGATTGTGCAGCCAAACCTTAATTTTACAGAACTCCATTTGTCAGACTTTGGATGCAATGGACAGAATTTAGTCTGGACTTTTCCCTAAGTCCTAGCCAAAGAAGATTGTTGTTCTTGAAACAGTCTGAATAATTGATGTTATGTATATAATTTGTGTAAATTATGTGAATTGCATAATTACCCATATGGCATGAATTTTATATATTTGGATCTAACAGACATTTGGATTTAACAGACCTTCCTACCCTCAATACACCATTAGACTGAGATTTTACTGAATAGCAGAACATAGAACACTCAGAGATCCTTCAGCATGATCAAGGTAGAGATATGAATATTACAACCCAGAAATAGAAATAATAGAAACAGAAGAAATAGAAATAAAGAGAAAGCAAGCAAGTTCTTCTGCATCAGATTAACTGGGAATGATTCTAAGATGTGGAAGAATGTCTTGGCACAGCACTTAAAAGAACACTGCTGTTTGAGGTATTGAGAATGGATCTTGTGTAGATTTGCTTGTAGTCTGAATCAAATAATTGGTTTTCTTATTTTACTCATTAATTGTTGGACTTTATTTTCTCACACACATTGTTATTGTATTTTGTAGACATTCTGAGTTTGAGAACAACATGGAATTTAAGATAACATAATAATAAATTAAAGCCAGAAAATTTTGACAGCACAATTCTAGATAATAAATCCTAATGAATTCAGTGGGACTTGCTCCTAGTTAACCATCCCTTCTCTGAGCTTAAAACAATTTGGGTGAAAGATATACAAAATCTATCACTACTTCTACGATATTGTAGGAGGAGAGCTGTGTTAGTCTATGGGGGCAAAAAAAAAAAAAAAATCAGGAGTCTGATGGCACCTTTTCTGGCTATCAAATTTTATTGAAAGGCACAAGCTTTCATGAGTTTATAGTTCTACAGCTCTTGGAAGCTTACACCTTTTAATAAAAGTTGGTAGTTGGAAAAGGTGCCACCAGATTCCTGATTTTTTTTGCTAATACTTCAATTAGTAAAGGATATCCTTAGTTATTGGCTGGTGTGGGTCTTCCGGGCTGTGTGGCCATGTTCTTGAAGTTTTGTTTCCTAACGT